TATACCGCTTATTTATCTTAATATTGTGACTCGATGGTAAACCGTTAAAGCGTAAAGTTGGATAGTGATTTCGACAAATGCGGTATGACTTTCGATGTTATAACTCAAGAGTGGAAGAGTTACGGGGCGTCGAGATGTTGTTCTAACAGCCAATTTGTCGGTTTACAATTTGTATACAGCTTATTGACTATTCGTTAACGAAGCGACACGGTAAACTAATGACTCTGCGGTAAGATGGACTAGTACGGAACTATTCGATATTTAGTTCAGGTGAACGATCAAAGATGTTAGGTCGTGGTTAGGTCAACGTTTCCATCCGGTGCTCGCACCCGGTCCAATCGTCGTTGCGCAAATTACACTTCACCGTTGAATCGTAGTCGGGAAATCTCTGTTTGAGAACTGCGTCGTGTCACAGCAGTTAATCATAGTTACTTGCCAACAGTTTCGTCGGCAATACGTCGCGTCCTTGTTTCGTCATGTCGATAACTAGGACACGCGTATTGTTTCGATTACATACCTACACGAACGTTGAAATTGGAATTTCTCATCTTCTTTTTACACCATTCTATGGCTGCGGACCTACTGCAGCTAATAGAGTAAGTACTATTCGGCCGCGAGAAGATGGCACGACTAAAACTCGTAGGGATCTATGCCCCACTACCCGATATCCCTACTTCGCGTCCCAAGTATTTTCGTAATTGGACGAATCACTTGCGATGCGGTGACGATGACTTCAAAGAAGTGGCATAGCCTCCAGAACCGATAGGTGGGAATTAAACTAGACATTAAGAGTGGGGTCAGGCGGAGCCGAACGAAACGAATATCCCCCATTGCTTCTATTCTGTATCGTATGCCAGCTTCTCGCGGATAAACACACTCTTATGTTTATTCCGTAAATAAGTAGAAAATATCAAATATTTTCACTCTGTCAGGTAATTATCGGAAAGGAATGGATGAACAAGACGTAAATGAAATAAATTAGATAAATTAGATAAATTAGATAAATTAGGAAGAGCATCCGTGTATAAGTTGATTGAACACACAGACACAGGCGAATGTTGATAAATGCTGGTACGATTTACTCGTTGGCGAATCGAAAGCCGACAGATCGATGACAGAGTTATTTGAAATTTGAGCGTGGCTCGTTAGTTGCAATGGGTTTTTCGGCCGATGACGCTGTACGCGTGTTCGCGAGCTCGTAAATATTTCGTGTAAACTGCCGCTCGACAGGTTATCCGATTATACGTGGCCAGTCCGTTCGGGAAAACGAGACTTTACATAAATATTCTGTTTCCGTCTGTGATGCTATCCTAGGGAACACAAGTGTCCACGTTAGCCGTCGCGACTGTGTTGTTTATCCGCGGAATAAAATCGCCATACTTTTCGCTTTGCGGTGGCTGAAAGGATTCTTGCTATCCGCGCTTCTTCCCTTTTCTTTCCACGAGTTTTTATTACGTTTCATGGCGTGTTAAGTTTGTCGCGTCGCCGTTTGTCGCGCTTAACAAGGAAACGAATCGAACAGAAGGAACAGGCAGAGGGGAAAAAGCAACGACTGGAAATCACGGGGTATGTATCGCTCGAGTATCGCTCGTATTTTCTCCAGTCCACTGACCGAGAACCGGAAGGGAGAGAACACGAGGCTCTTTTACCAAGCCTCGGTCAGAGCGTTCGCGCTCTGTTGGAGAATTAATCGCAAAACACCCTTGGCGAGAGAGAAAACGGGACTTGTAGTCGGAAAAAGATCATTCCGGAGATATGTACAGGGAGAAAGTATCTACACGTAGCCTTTCCTCTCTTTCTCTTTCACTCGGTTTCCAACCCTCTTGCCTGATTGCCTGCAGGTCTCTGCTTCGCGTATCGAGTATGTTCCACAGGGATGAATCGTAGCTTCTATGAAATTCGACATGGTTCTGCTCTTATTCGAAACGTGCTGCAGCACCAACAACGATACGACTGTGATTTCTTTTCATACTATTGTGCTGATAATTTTACCTTCAACATTCGACATACTACGTACCGTTTTTTCTTGGGGTCATCAATGAGTAGTTTTATCGTGTTAACAGAGAAACGGAAAAGGAATAGGAGATGAAACGGAAAACGTTTTGCTGGATTTCTGCTAGTTACTTTACCACAGTGCGATCCTATTTCATTAATAACTACAACTAGCTTTAGTACACTATAGCGAACAATGAAACGAACAAAGAAGGAAAAATATTGAGCTAAAAATTGAAAATGACAACTAAAAGCTTTAAGATTATTATTGAAAAAAAAGTACATCGAAGTATTGACGGCGGTCGAATGGAATACTTTGTCGAGGGAAAAACGGCTCTGCGACGGCTAACGAAAAAATGGTTAAAAGGTCGTTACAAATACATCAGATGGAAAGGGGTAGCTATGGAAGCAACGAAACTGCATCAACCCTATTGCTTGGTTAATAAGTGATAGGAAAATTGTGGTTTGTTCGTATAACGCTCTCCAGTTTTCCAATATTTTCTCGATGAACGGGAAAAGGTAACGCTCTTCGACAGAGAAATATTTAATGGTTCCCAGCCGATGGTTTCGCCGATGAGTTTTCCGCGTTAGTCGTTAATTAACATGGCGGACAGAGAGAAGATAACGTTAAACGGTAATTTGTCAGCCTCGATACTCATCCAACGAGAGCGGAGTTAAGCAGACGGGGATCGTTGTTGCTCGTTACGTTGCAGTAGAAACATGCCGTAATGGCGAGTAGGCGACGATGAATACGTTAGTCGATTGTTCGCGCTTGGTCGCTGGAATAATCGCGGTGTAGGTCGGATGAATGAAGCGATAAAAGGGGCCGAAGCAGGGAGGGGTAGAAAGGATGAAACGCAATTAGAGAGAGGTAAAACGGGTAAAGATGGAAAGAGCAAGAAAACGGGAATGCTTAGAATTGCCATACCTGAACAGCTAGTAGTTTACCTGAACTCGGCTTTGCCTGCGGGCAAACTGTCGGGCAACAGCATACAGCAGGGGGTCACTTCTGCCTTTCTATACAACTTGTCAGCATAAAAACGAACAGCAGGGCAATCGTTACAACGTAACGCTTTGCCTCGAGCTATTACTCTATCGCTTATCCTTGCTGCGCTTATCGATGTTCAATCAATAATTAAAGAATCGAATATTTCAAAAATTAAAAATGAAAGGAGCAGAAACAACATACAGAGCATGAATTCGTTGGAACGAATTGGTTGTACAAACGATATCATAAATTCGGGATAACGAAGGGACAGATAGGGCGAATATAGGGCGAATCCGTCAGATTAATCGCGAGGAGAAAACGGACGAGGAGAGCTGCCGCGTGGAGCTAAAACGGAGGGAAAGCGAGGAAGATAACGCGTGTCAGGCATCCGGAGGTAAATCGTGACTTCCGTGAAATTCGACGCGAGCTTATTCTGCCTGTGAAACGCGAAAGCGAGAACACGAAGCTCGGTCTGAACATTCGCGAAGAAACCAAGTCATACACGACGAGATAGTAGAGACAACTGGAGATATTAAATAGGTGTAAAAGAGATTATTACGTTGCCTCTTTCGTTGCTCTATCGTTCTATCCATCGATTCGACTCGACTGAAAGTGCAGTAGCGGTATTCTTGAAAATACAAGAAATCTGAAGAACGAGAACAAAGAGAGGCAAACAGAAAGGCAAGTTTCGCGGATGTCTACAATGAATCTAATCGAAATAGTTTCTCTCGAATCAGGTAAATAGAGCTCGGTTAACTTTCGTGCGGTGGAAAACACGCGTAGTTGAAAAGCAGGGGTAGGGTGTAGAGCGACAGTGGATAGAGCTAGGGGAAGAATGATGGTTGATAGAGGCGAGAGTGATGAAGAGGTAGCAAGATGAAAAGAGAGGAAAAGAGCGTCGAGAGAAGGGAATCGAGCGGAGTCGGTGAGCTGGGCGGGAATAAGAGATGGGAGTAGTAGTGATATACTTTGGTCGGACATGCAATTAGTAGGGTTAGCGTGACTACGGATCGCTAGCCGTTCGCGTATTCCGTAAGGCCGCAGGGGAATGGCAAAAGGGAGGAATCGCGTACACCTCGACCACGATACTGTCTCGACCTCCTTTCGCGGACCAACCTGGCCCTCGTGATTTCTTCGAATCGCACCGCGTTGCCCGGTTTATTTTAATACCTCGATATTAATTACTGGAAATGACGTTGCGTAGAAAACAAAAACTTAATTGTGAACACTGAATGGTTACGAAACTAACAAGGGGAACTACCCAAGTGTTACACTCACTTATTAATGAAACCTTGCCAGCTTGTAGAGCTCGTCGAGCTGAACACGCCTATCCCCTCTTTTGGAGGCAGACGGCTAATTGTTTAAAAGATATTAACAATTACAGTTAGTTACTCCTTACATTCTGTAAGCTGTATACATCATACAACTCGCAATTTAGAGATCCACGGTTCAAACTCTTTGTTCCCAACATTTTTTTTTATTTTTTAATAATAATTTGTCGCTTTTTGAATAACTATTACATAAAAATTATCATAAAAAAAAAAAAAAAAAAAATGTTGGGAACCAAGGATTCGAACCGAGGACCTTCAGTTTGCGAGACATGGATCCACTCCGTGGTTATACACATGACTCGCAATCTAAAGATCCTCGGTTCAAATCCTAGGTTCCCAAAAATTTTTTTTTTTTTTTTAATGATAATTTTTATGTTATAGTTATTAAAAAAGAGACAAATTATCATTAAAAAAAAAAAAAATGTTGGGAACCAAGGATTTGAACCGTGGATCTCTAGATTGCGAGTTGTATGTGTGAGTTTGTCATACTTCAGAATGTAAGGAGTAACTAACTGTAATTGTTAATATCTTTTAAACAATTAGCCGATCTCGACAAATTATCACTAGGTACTGTTAACGGTTTTACAAGGCTCCCATGTTGTTTGTAACCAAACGAATTTGTTGAACGAATTTGTACAATCATTCATTCGTATTATTATTAATCTTTTTGTATATTTTTGTATTTATAGGAAGAACGAGTGGCGGAGACGAGCAAGGTCAGCTTCAATAATTCACAGTATTCGCTGATAAAACGGGCAAACGCTCGGCTCCGCCTAACAGTATTCCACTATAATTTATAATAGAACAGCCACGGGCCGGTCGGGCCACGACCAGACGGCAGGCCAAACAAGCCAGGAAATATGGGCAGGGCCATTAAAAGCTAACGATTAATTAAACACGAAATAAATATTTGACCAACGAATTACGGCGATATTAATCTCCGTTTTGTGCGTGCAGCGCTGCCCTGCGCTTCGCCGTCCTACACCGCGCATCCTGTACGCGCGTATTATGCGCGTCCGCTTTTCCATTTGCTTTACCGATTGTCTGCTTGCAAATTCCCGCTAACGGTGAGATAGAAGAGAATCGTTTGACTAAACGCTGCGCGATCGATTTCTTCATCGAAATGCGAATCACCGTGGCTCCGCTATCTCTTGCTCGGCGTTGCATCAAAAATTTACGGAAACAGTTGCAGGAAGTTGTAAACAACAGACTAATTGATTCGTACGAGCGTTATATTTATCCCCCCCCCCCCCCCCCCCCCCCCCCCCCCGATCGTTCGAAACAGGAGTATATTACACTCGACGTTGATGTACGATTTCAGTTCGTTTGCTTATCTTTCTCTTCCCTTCTTTCTCTGTCGGACAAACAGAGAGAGTGGTCGTTATAAATTCTGCATCGATCGACACGATTTTTCTGGAGATTCTCGCGAAAGCTGACAAAACGTTTGATGGAAACGAGCGTGAAATTATAGGTAATTTAGCCTTGTGAAAATAAAATTTGATACGCTTTACACGCATATCATAGATATCAAATAGTTCTATCTAAAGGGAGGGAACTGTAGAGTTGCTTTCAAATGAAAGTTTTATTTCGAACGGAGGATGGAGAGGATAGAGGGGCAGGGAAAATTTTCTGGCAATTTACAGAGAGACTAGTGGTCGGAGTCGGATAGGTTGTCGCGTAATTCCGCGCTTAAAATCAACCAGCAGAGCTACGTGAACGCTGTGCCGCGCCGGCCTCTGGAAGATGCCAGACACAGACACGTCGCAGAGAGTTGCTAGTCACTCCATCATAATTAGTCTCCATCGTTCCCCCAAAGGGATGTTCCGCGTTAGCTTAAATTCAAAGTAATGCGATAGCTGATTAATACGCCGCGTATAATTACTTCTAGCCTCCATTAGCTAGGACTAGGATTTGCCTGGATCTCTCCGATCCCAGTTTTCGTTTCGCCAGTCCTTGCCTTCGGGAACGTATCGTTATCGTGTTACAATTCTTACTAAACTTCAAAGCGAATTCGTACCGAAACGATACACCTGCTGTTCGCTTTTCGTGATAACTACATTCGTATGAATGTTCTAAGAAAACTTTCTCGTTAAAAGAAAAAAAGGAAAAACATCCTGAGAGATTAATTTTTCGCTGTTATTTTATTTCCAAATGGAACGAAGGGAAATCGTACGAAGAATAGAAGCGATCGTTTCAAGTTAATTAACGATGTAGGATCTTTCAGCTTCAATCAGGCAATCACGCGTGTCTCGTTTGAAGAAGGTGCGCACAATGGAAGCACAATGGAAGCACAATGATAGACCATCGACAAAAGAAGAGCTGGAGCTTATGATCGATTCATAAAGCTCCTTTCCGCGCGTCCCTTTTCGTGCAAGTCCATTTACATTAAAGCTTCTTACAAAGTACTTACTCGAATCCTTTGTCTACCCGCCATTTTCATCGTGGCGATCTTTATCATCTGCTCGCTTCGACCACGAATACATAACTCGATGGTAGTTCGGTCGATTTTACGAGAACATCACCAGGGTAGTACACCCGTTTAACGAACTTATCGTGAGAGCGAAAATGAAATTTTCTTAAGATGAAGAAGCAACCCACATAAGTAAGCCGCGAGAAGCGCGAAAAGTAGCTTTGAAAAGTAGCTTTGTACAAAGCTTCCTTGAACGGAGGATTTAGCCTCGAGTAGAAGTACTCTTGTTACTTTGGCCGATTCGTTGTTTCCACAACGGTTAAGAGCAATTAGCCGAACAATACAACGTGTTCGATGATCCTCCGACAGCTTTAAGAACGAAAAGCAACGGTGTTCCGACGCGGCGTTGGAAAAAGCTTGGTCTAGCGTCACAAGACGAACGCTTTTCCCCTTTTTTCCTTTTTCCCCCTCTCCCCCTTTTTTTTGAAGATGAATTCTCGGACAAAGACCTTTGAAAGCGACGACCAAGCCCTGGTTTCTTTCAACGAACGGACAGAAGCGCGACGTTTTTCAGGAAAATTACTCGCTGTGGAACGGAGCGGCAATGGTACGCTAGAATGAAACGGAACGAAACGAAACGAAACGAAACGAAAGAAACGAAAGAAACGGGGAAACGCAATCACGCGAATGCGTGTCTCGACCAGATCGAAGCGTTCACCACACGATTCCGATGATCGCCACAATCCACTGATAGAACTGCTTCTGTTCTACACTCTGCTTAGGCTTCAGATTTTCAAAGGACAATATTTTCTATAATATCAATTTTTTTAAAAATCATATCATAAAATTAGGCCAAACAATTATTCACTAAATCCATGAAAAGAACAATTCGAGAAATTTTGACGGATTTTTGCAAAATAATTCTGTCCTTAAGTGGTTCATAAAGTAGTGAATTTTGGTGTAAAAGTTATGTATGAAGATCAAGAATACAACATTCAGTGCTACCCCTCTGATCCATGATCTTTGGATACTGCACAGATTAAAAGAACAATCACGTTTTCTACGGTTGTTCGAAGCGAAGAATCGAAAGAAGGAACGAGAATGACGAGACGTGCGAACGCAAAAATAAAGCGAACAGATAGGTTGCCCTAATTGTACGGTCTCGACTAGCTCATAGCTACGCCGGCGATGATAAAGCCCGAGATGGAGCCCGAGCGCGAGCGGTGGTCCCTCTTTGACGGATTATCGAAAATCGATTTGCACGGTAGCCAATTAACCTACAAGTCATTACCGGCCGTAATTATGCCGATACCGATCTCGGGACGCGTTTCAATTGATAATAATAACGATAATGGCCGTTGCGTAGACCACGCGTACGCTTGAGAACGGATCATCTGGTTGTCGTATGTATTTTCTATTACCTGTTTGATCTCTGATTCGTGTTGATTTGTAGGATCACAGAAGAAAATCGGAAATTGTTTAATATCTTTAATACTAAACACTACCGATACCACTACCGATGTTTATTTTATTCTTCTTCACCGCATTTTTGACAAATTATAGGATTCTTAATTGCACATTTACCACATACGTATTTTAAAAACGGTAGGTTTAGTGCTAATATTAAGTGTTCCTAATTATAAGTAACCGAGAAATAGTTCAAATATTTCTGAGGTAATTACAAGGTACAAATTATTACCTTATCGACGTGCAACTGTAGAAACTTTTAATATTCTTTGAAAAGGCCTACTTAATTGCTACGAAATGCTATTAATACACTCGAGCACCACTCGGAAAATACAGTTTGCCGTTGATAAATGAGAAAAAAAAAGGAGAAAAAACACGTATGCAACGAACTCGACTAATTTTCTCTTCCCGTTGATTACACCGTTTCAAAAATACACGGGTTGAAACTCAGCGTTACCCCCGATGGTCGAACGTCCATAGGGGAAAGAATCGGAGTATCGTGTCATCGTAAATCAAAAATCGAGCTTGTAACTCGTGATTGGCCGTCAGAGAAGCTTAACGCCGCGAATTCGTCGAACAAGCCCGTTATCTCGCGTTTGGTTGCACCCTGTCAAAATGTGTCCCGATCGTTAATGGACGTTTTTTCTGGAGGAAGCTTGAAACGCGACGTATCGAGAATCGTTTCCATTCTTACCCTCACGTGTGTATTCTCTACTTACAATTCGATTGCCGATAAAAAAGAACAAATAAATAAATAGAGAAAATGGAGGAAAAAGAGGTTTTTGGCTGTGTGCATAATTCGTTTCGATCGGCGCATAACGGAAGCATAGGCATCGAGGGTGCGAATGAAATGGGAGAAGGGAGGAACAAGTGAAAAGAGAGAAATTGGCACGTTAATGACGAAGAGAATAGCTCGTTTGAGGGCGAGAAAAAGAAAAGGGTCGGTGGGTGAAGGTTACGGGGAGCGGAAAGAAAGTAAAATTACCGTCGGGTATACGGCTTTCGTAATATACAGGGTGTCCCAGAAAGTGCTATCGATTCTTTCAGAAAGTGGATAAATTTATTTCTTCCGAGGTTTTTGTCGAGGAATTTGAAGGAATACAAAATTTATTTTTTAAATCAATACTCACTGTCGAATGCGGGGAAAATATATCTTGAATTGTTAAATAAATCAATAGCTCATAAGATTTTTGAAACGGCACCTACACCTTGTGCGAATACATGGACATACATGGAATGCTGAGAAAAGTGGATCGCTTATCGTTAATAATTAGTGACTTGAAAGTGGTGTCGTTTTTTCCACCTATCCCTCTCATCGCCGTCGTTTCGTTGGTCCAATTATGTTGAACAACGGTTTTGTCGACGCGATCGCATTATATATTTATCCACGGAAATATCGACGGCCTGATTGTTGTTGTTGCTGTTAAAAATTGATTAACGCCAACCGATCTGGTGACTCGTTTGTTCACCGGGTGGTGGCGGTCGTTATTGCAAAAGTTTGCCAGGAAAAATAGCAAAAGCGCGGACCGATGGGCTGCAGATATACGCGCTCGTTACGCAAACTTGCGGCGCGAGTTTACGATTGGCAATTAGTGGCTGGTATCCGAGATCGGGTATCGAACATTCTTCGCAGTTACCGGCATTTTACGATGCAACATTGTTATCCTCGCGCTATTGGATCCGAAATTATTAAGCTGCCTGTTATTAACGTGGAAAATTAGCATTGAAAGTTGTTTTTAAGTGAAACGCGATGCACCGCCGTTTTTCGTACCGGCTATCAGATGAATATCCGTAACAATTTTCTCGCAAGCTCGCGCTCGCGTAAAAGCATGCGGTTCT